TCAAGCCAACCACCATTGTAGTCCTTACTCAGGGCAACCGATTTTCAAAATCCGCTCGATGTATGTGATCATATCTTGAGGACCCAGTATTCGAAACTATAGTGAAGTACTGTGTGGTAGTATGCTACATAGTTCTGACATCGAATTATAAGTAGTAGCAACCGGAAGCGGACTGCCTTACCGATTGAAGATTAACGTGGAGTGGTACATGGAAGGAAGTACACTTAGAAGCAGTCAGAGGATATAACAAGGGTTGGAGAAAAGAACCATGAATGAGTGGAGTAAAAGGACAACTGAAGGAATATGTGCACAATAGTGTATTTTATTGTTTGGATTGGTTCCAGATTTTACGAAGGCGTTAATACAATAACGTGGTTTTCCTGGTGCATGAGGTCCTCGTTCACTATTGTGTCAAAGTTTTGGTCTTCCATATGTCCTCTTTGAAACATTATTGTTTAGCAATGTTGTCGATCCGGGAAACCCTGTGCACATATGGGTGGTTGGGGGGGGGGGTGGGGGGGGGGGGGGGGGGGGTGGGGTTGGTATGGATGTGCGTTGCTGCGCACATAGACGCTTTCCCCCTAAATGCCCTGGTTTGGCGCACGAAGTGGGGTGGGGCCCGCCCTCCTCTTTGAAATGCTTCTCCTCATGGCCACGCGTATACATGCCTCCGCCAGGAAAGTCCTATACATACTACTGCACTTCTCGTGGCTTTGCTTGTTGTTTTCCGCAATATGAGAGTGGACGAAAGGCGAATTGTCCTGGCGCTTTAATACCCGGGTTGGTAGACCTAACTCGGTTGGAGTGTCACGCCCAGTGGGGAATGGGGAAACCCCTGATTTCTTAAACCAATGGTGCACTTAGGACTCCACAGTAACCCTGAGGGAAAACAAATGCGCGCTCTCCGAAATGTCTTGTTCTTAATAAATATTCAGGAAAATTTTTTCAAAAGGATTTGATCCTGATGGTCATAGCTTATATTTATTTATTTCTCATATTGCATTTGCGTGCCAGGTGGGGAAAATGTTGTTCGCAGTTGAGAAGCCATGTAGTACTAAAGTGAACTCGATACTTGCTTTTAATTCTGATGATTTCATATTAACTGTGTGCCTTCTTCCTATACCTGTAGTTCACTTCAAATGATAATACCCCAGTCATGTGTGAGAAATATATGTTTTTTACTGTAGTCCCACCACTCAATAACAGTTTGGGTTATGTAGAATGCCAACATTTATGTCGTGGGGGAGGATAGTGTTGAGGAATTTTTATGGTTCCAAATTCTAGATTTATCTGTGGTCTCAGTTACAATACCGACCATTGATGGATGGTATACAATTCCAGGACTCCAGCTGATTCCGTTCCAATTTCGGGGCTGTTAATTTGTATTGTAAATGAGCTTATTCTTGACTTCATTCAGAGTCTACATCCATTTACACGGTCCAGGACAGACACGATGAATCTAATGGAGATGAGAGTACACATGTATTGCCGATATTAGGATTCTCATTTGAATGCTGTGGGGGATGTTGGTGTTTTTGTACTGAACTAATTGATTCCTTCGTTACTTGTTGATATGCTTGGTTTCGAATTCCAATTCAGGTACTTGCGTTCGTGCTTATCTCTACTATCTTCTTGATCTAATTGCGTTATGTCTGGGATATCATTAGTTTGTTCTATAGTTCATAATACTCACTATATTTTTCATAGTATAGTCAAATATTATATTGATTGTTAAAAAACTAAACCTCGGCACAGCCAATCGGTAATTTACATGTCTTTGTTCACATGATGGCTCAATAATTGTAAGTGAGCTATTAGTTGAAGAATGTGATACGATTATAGAGCTAAAATACTAATATTCACTGCTGTGCAGAATTTTTGATGTCAATTACTAGTAGTGTTAATTAAACTTAAAGGTACAAGAATCATCAACTGGGTTAATTCACTCTTATAAAACAATATGTGATCAATTGTCACAATCCCACTGTATTAATAAATCAATAAAGGCAATAGCTCTGTTATTACTATTACACAATGTGAAACATGTGTTGAATTTCTTGATATGCATTTGTAAGACATATAGTACCTACTTTTTTTGAGACATAGAACATTATCTTCTTACTCCATATATTTCGCTTTACGAATAACATCAGAGAACACTGGGGGGGGGGGGGGGGTGGGTGGCGGAGCCAAGGGAGATTCTGCGAATTTTACGTTGCCATCTCCCAGGAACACCTCCAGGATATCGAATATAACGCAACGAACTAAATTGTCTCTATCCACTTCTGACCACTGAAAAATAAAGCAGAAGCATATTTATGGTAAACTAACCTTTAGTGATAATTATAATATTTAAAACCATTGTTTTGTATCTTAAATTAAAATTATCTAAACATTCAACAAAGAAAATATACAAATAATGGTAGAATAGTAAGCAGAGAGTAATCAGACGTAAAAAAAACCATAATATCTCACTGAAATAACAATCCATTGTTAAGTTAACTCAGTGAACGAATTTAAACTAATATAGAGAAATAAAACTGTTTAAAATGTAACCCATGTTGGAATTTTTGAAAAAGATTAGTTCCACAGAAACGACCTTCTAAAATAAAATTGCGGACATTAAATTACAGAAAGAAAATGTTTTGATATAATCCATAACCTACCACATCCGAGTATTATCATTATGAAAGACGTCTTATGGTCATCGAGTTTATTATTTCAGAAAACAATTCTCCAACCAAACGATATGCTTCAATGTTCAGTTAGATCGTCTATTAAAATTCTTGAGAAAATTGCTCACCGTATTCAGTTAACTTTTATTAAGGTGGAGCAATTAGATTGCTAATCAACTATCTTCTGTTGGGCACCATTCACAAGTAACCACAAAAGTATATATTTAATTAAGTTGAAGCAACAAGTGTAGTTATGCTGAAGTCAAAATTACAGATGAAATGAAGTTCACAGAAACATTAAAAGTAGGTTAGGTGAGATAATTACGCACGTACATAACTACACTCTCGCCATGACACGTGGTGCCAGTTAGAATTGTAGTAAGATAGTAGAAGCGTCATGGAGTTCAAATTAAGATAGCATGAATCCGTTATGTGTATAACTTTAGCTTTGAAGTATGTTGAAAAGTATAAGATTTTCGTCTGATGTTTATGCGAAATCAGTGGTTGAATACTTCAAGTGATATAGTTTATAATCACGAGTTGAATCCACTGGCTGATGATACTAGTGAAAAATATATCTCTATTAACTTCGCACATAACCTGTGGACTTTACAAGTTTGGGATCACGGTATATTAAAAGTCAAATTACAGATGACTTCTGGATACGTATATTTCAGGCATTATATGAACAGACAAACCGAGAGTGAATAAGCATACGCGGTGTGGAGGAGCAATTACTAGCCAACTCGCAAATATGAGACATATTGTGTAACGAAAATAGACAACGTAACAAGTTAGGAGAGTGATACTCACAGTCGTACAAGGTCACAGAATACTTGGTCAGATAGGAATGGCACAGCTAATGGGTTACGTGGGGTACGGTATGAAGTGCCACAAACTTAATAAGGATCATATTAATGCCAATCTACTTCTAACGTCGAGATGTGCTGGAGAATCATTATTCTAGTGATATTAATGCGACATGGTCCTATTGCATGTTTGCATTACTGTCGTCTTTATTTTCGCTTTGACTGTCACAAAATGTTGAAAATTAGTTAGAAAGACCACTTTTTGCCAAGTTGATTGTTTTCATTTACCAGTCCATAGTCCAATGTCTTTAGGAAGTTACAAGTCTATCCCAACAGAAAGAGATATGGTATGAAATCTGAAATATTCAGTTTGCTGCTTATATAGTTATTACCAGGTATCATTCGGTGCCCATTGGTAATATTTTCTATAACTTCTGATTATGTTCATTCTTTTTCATACATCTGTATATCAAGGTGTTTATTACATGAAACTAAGTGATACTTATTATCTAGTCTTTTTGTAACCCACGCAGTCCACGGAATACTAATGAAGATATAAAAATCCGATATCCTAATTATTTACCACGAGGCTGGATTATATCGTTTTAGGGTACCAATCGGGTGCTATTTCACCCGTCATTTTAACAACCAAGTCTTGTTAATAGTGAGAAATGTGACGGTGATAAAACCTTTTATCAGTCTTGTTTTATTACATCAATCATTATACTGTCAACTATTTATACCCAACCACTCGTGGAATGTTATTGAAATGAGCTTACCCACTTGGGTAAAATAGAGATGCAACTGGAAACACGATTATCAATACAAGGACACTAAAAGTTGTGCGTTTAATACATCAACATATAACGAAATCATTTCTCGAAAATCGAAACTAGTTTCGTTAGGATGAAGCCGTTGAATGTACGCTGTGCAGCTGCAAAATCGAAAACTTGAAATTATTGCTAAATGTTATAAACGAAGTAAAGATAGACGTACTTCTCGATAAACAGGATCTTTTGCTTCACTTTTTGAATCTTCATCAGAACTCTCAGTCTCAATATTAGGAATGTCTGTAAGGACTGAATTCAAAGTTGATTGGCCAGCCTCCTTTACAACTTCTCTAAGGATTGTTTGTTCGTGTAATAAGCGACGTTTGCGTTCTTGTTTATCAGCCTTAAGTTTTTCTTTTTTTTCTTGAAGAACTAAAATGTAGATAGATAAGACATAAACGAAGTATATAACTAGCTCTAGATAGACAAACACAAAACTGGGATATTTTTCGGTTTAAGTTGATACACATTAAAATAACAAAAGGGAGTCAGGAGAATTAATATATTGGTTTTCTTGAGAAACATTATGCCATAGAAGCAATGGTTCAGTGGTCAAGGTGTTCGACTTTCAGCCACAGTTCTGGTCTTGAACCACGTCCCACCTATTTCGGTTTAGGTAACCGGGTAGTATCACTAGCTTTCAAGTGTGGCTCATTCCCAAGGACTCGTGAACGAGTTTATTTAATTCCTTAGAAATGATAGAAACGATGGTTTAGAGGTCAAAATACTCAACTTTTAGAAATGAGTTTAGTGATAAACCATGACGAAAAATTTGTCGTCAGATTTACCTAACATAAATATTTTCTTCAGTGGGTTTTAGTAAGCTACTCAGTCCTATTGAACTATTTAAAACTAACAAGTTGGACACTGGAATTAACAACGAACGGTATTATTAAGCTGTACGGCAAACGACGCGTTCAACTGACGAAATATGTTAGTTCTATAAACTTCCAATTGGACACGAGATATGAAGGCATTAGTTAAGATACATTTATCTTCATATCTTGCTACTTTTGCTCAACATTTACCAAGATGACTAAGAATGATATTTAGAAACCACAATTTAATTTCGCTCACTGTATAGAATCTTAGATGGAATATACAACTAATGTGCCACGTTAATGCAATTAAACTTCCCAGTAAATCATATGTTGAAGACCCATTATTACAAAATTTACCCATAAGCAGATAAATAATTTGTAAGAGCCTACTTCGAACTTCTTCCCTGAGTTCACGACGTTCTTGTAATTTCTCAGAAATCTTTCCGTTAATAAATTCAGCGAAAACAGGAATAAATGTGATGATAGCATATATCCATCTGACAATAGCGAACGGAAGCAAATCAAACCATCCGGGAGCGGGAATCTTTTGAAGTTCGTCAGATATCTCTTGGTTTATTAGTTCCAACTTCCGATCACGAGCTTTGTGACGTTTTAAAGAAGTGCTAAGTTGATTTTCCTAAACAGTATGAATAGAAGTGAACTCTCATACCAAAGTAAGCCGCTTCTCAAAAACTGAGCCCCAAAGTGTAGCATAATGAATTATGGTAGCCATTCCAAAGAACAACCCAAACAGTTCGTAGTTAGACATTTTGCGGAGCTTCCTCAAGTAAAATACTGGGGTTCGCCAACTGGGCAAACCATTTATCAGCACTTCATCATATCTAAAAAGAATAAGGGAATATTCTCCGATATACTTACTTGGCACGTAATTCCGAATTCTTAAGGACTTCGTAAATACCTACAAGCCTTCTGAACTTCTGTTCTGCAGTAGGATCATCTGGATTCTTGTCTGGATGAAGTTTAGAAGATAACTTTCGGTAAGCACGTTTTATTTCAGAAATATCAGCAGTCTGCGCGTATATTGTAATTAAATAAAACTCAACTTTACATGAGAAACCCCCAGAAAGTCATAAAAATTTTCCTTGACTTCTTCAACTAAATCAAACATTTGGAGTTCTCCAGAATCCCATGCGCTCACTTTTCCACACAATAAGGTGAGGAAGAAAATGTAGATTATCATCGTAGACACTCACGACCACTTATTACCGTCAATAAGTCGACTTTTCGTCTGTAGGTACTGAATTGGTAGATGCTATATGAGTTTGATGGTGACAGCTGACTCAATCGGCGATATATTCTGGTAAAAAACATGTACCAACAAACGGGTAAACATAGCGAATAGACGTATAATAAAGTGATCTATGTACAAGCTCAAATCCAACCCATTATTTGCAAATGAAAATAAGAATCAAATCGTTTAGACTTCAGCTGTGTCATATTCAGCCGTCAACAAGGTCTCACTTGGTTTCTAAGTGTGTGGTTATTACTGAGAGGGTGAAGGAAAAAAATATATGTTTGGTGGTGATAACATACTCAACTAATTAAAGGAAACAAAGGACGATGGAGAATTAACTTGAATTGTTACTAGGATACCTACTTCGGTCTGGGCACCCGGGCAGTACCACAGCCCACACACAAACTAAGTGACTTGTGTGGTGCATATGTATTCGGTGCCCCTTTGTACCAATATTTGTGTTCAAATATCTAAATAAACAAACTAAGATAGGTATTTCGGTGGTAAAACTGAAGATCACTGAGGTAAATTTACAACTTAAGCCTGGAACGTTCAGTGATCTAAATGATCATTTAGATCACTGAACGTTCCAGGCTTAAGTTGTAAATTTACCTCAGTGATCTTCAGTTTTACCACCGAAATACCTATCGTGGTTTGTAAATAAAAAGGTCGACCTCTGTATTTACATGTCGTCAGTTAAAATGGCAAAATGCGAATAAATGAATTCCATATAAAAGACCAACAACCGGTACGTTGAATTTGATTGCTTTTTCCATAAATTGTAGTCTTCCTGAATATGAGTCATAAGAGCTATCGGGTAGAATATACAGTCACAATGTTTTTTCACGATTTACAAGTATTGAGTAGTTTCTGATTATGTAGACACTCCATTACATACTTTATCACCATGATAAAAACGTTTTGACTTATTTTAATAAGGAAGGGATTGGAGGAAGCGTTTCAGCAAGTCAGCTACCCTCGGCATAATACCGGAAAAAAGAATGGTTAAATGACATCCAAAGAGAAGTCAAGACAAACAATCGCCTACCACAGAAGATGAAGAGCAAAATGAGATTAATAAGGACGAAGCTTCAGACACTAAGAAACGAGCCGGAGTGCCGTGTTTCCGTAAAAATTCTACCTTTGCAGAGCCGAAAATATTTTGGTGGGATTTAGAGTGCTGTCGATTCGAGCGGGGAACAAATAAACAAGGAATAATCAACAAATATAAATCTAGAGCAATAACGACACACACAGACATCCTAACTCTTGGGACGCAAATGTTATTTTGTGTCCAATACTCAACATCGTTGTGGCTTCCTAGTGTAAGCCAGTTAAATCATATGCCTTTGATTCAAAATATGTCCGTTTTTCTACAACTTTTAGTTTTTATGTGCCTATTATCTTGCGAAAAAGCAACAGGAATAAGTGTTAGCAGTAAAGCCTGTCATACAGTAACGAACAATTGGTTCCTAATGACTCTGAAAAGCACCAGAATCTCCAGACATCAGTTTATGCGGATTGGAAACTTTCTGGTTGGCCACTGACAAGGTACGAACTAACTACTAACCCCCTTTTGAAAACTAGAATTTACTGAAGCAGCTCATGACTCAGTACTAGGTTTATTGCTGTTTATTCTTTAAGACAAGTAACTTCCACACATTGGTGTAGTCTTGATCCCTGAGCTGGATGATTTAATCGTGGACAAATATGTGACTGAGTACCAGTTTCAGTTTGGGAAGGACAGGAGGCTTGATGGCCTGTGTTAGTCCTGGCAATGGTGGTCTCTCAGTTGATCCAACTTTCTTTTGAAAGAGTCGACGGATGGAGTCTCAACCACGTGCTGAGGTAGTGAATTCCACTCGTTGATGATTCGATGGGAAAGTTGATAGTCAGCTGACAAGTAATTTGTTCTCGGCTTATGAACTTTTTTGGAGTGTCCTCGTAAATTCTCTGTTTTGGAAGACAAGAAAAATGAGGGCATATTAGGTGCAAATTTATCACTAAGCAATTTGAAGACTGTAATCAAGTCGCCTCTAGTTCTGCGATATGACAACGGGAAAAGGTTCAGCTTGGCCAATCGAACTTCATACGGAAGCTTCGCTATTCCGGGAGTCAGCTTAGTCGCCGTTTTCTGAACCTTTTCCAGAAGCTCACTGTCTTTTTTAAGCAGGGGCTAGCCGCTTGTATGCAGTACTCAAGTTTAGGACGAACGGACACTGTATACAAAGTCAAAAACGTTTTAGCGTCGACATAACTAAAAGCTCTACGTATTGACCATAACGTTCTAAAACCTTTGGCGGCTATTGCACGGCAGTGTGCAATAGTCTTTAAGTCTTGACTAACGATAACTCCTAAGTCATTATATGTCTGGACGATAGGGAGCTCAGTGTTATTCATCGTGTATGTATCTGTGCCTTGATGACCGATATGCATCACAACACACTTGGAAGTATTTATCGGCAACTGCCATGTTTGAGACCATTCAGATAACTTCTTCAGGTCAGTTTGAAGTTCTAAGCTATCACTCTTACATCGTATCGTTCTCCATATCTTGACATCGTCAGCATATAGCAAGACCGATGATGATAGGAGACAAGGAAGGTCATTTACACACAAGAGGAATAGCACTGGCCCCAAAACTGTACCCTGGGGCACTCCACTAAGCACAATTCCCCAGCTAGATAACTTTGAGTTCACTCGTACTCTTTGTTGACGCCCAACTAGGAAGTCTTTTATCCACATCAATAGGTTGCCTCCAATCCCGACATTTCTTAACTTATATAACAGATGGTTGTGCGGAACTTTGTCAAAAGCTTTGCTGAAATCAATGAAGGCTACGTCTACAGGTAACTTTTAGTCCTTAAGAGCGCACCAGCTTTCACGAGCCACTAATAAGTTAGTGAGACAAGAGTAACCTATTCTGAAACCATGCTGCTTATCCGACTTACTTTAATTACTTACGCCTGTTACTCCCAATCGAGCATAGACCGCTGACCAGCATTCTCCAACCCACTCTGTCCTGGGCCTTCTTTTCTAGTTCCATCCAATTCTTGTTCATTTTTCCCATGTCTATCTCCATTTTTTCCTCTTTTCCTTTGACCTTCAGGATTCCATGTGAGGGCTTGTCTTGTGACGCAGTTGAGTGCTTTCCTCATTGTGTGTCCTATCCACTTCCAGCGCTTCTTCCTGATTTCTTCCTCCACTGGAATCTGGTTTGTTCTCTCCCACAGTACGTTGTTGCTAATAGTGTCCGGCCAATGGATCTGTAGTATTTTGCGTAGACAATTGTTAATAAACACCTGTATTTTCTGAATGATGGCTTTCGTAGTTCTCCAGGTTTCCGCCCCATACAGTAGAACTGTCTTGACATTTGTATTGAAAATCCTGACCCTGGTGTTGGTTGACAGTTGCTTTGAGCTCCAGATGTTCTTCAGTTGTAAATATGCTGCTCTTGCTTTGCCGATCCGCGCCTTCATATCTGCATCAGATCCACCCTGTTCATCAATGATGCTGCCCAAATACGTAAAGGATTTTACATCTTCCAAATCTTCTACGTCAATTGTGATTGGATTGGTGCATTCTGTGTTGTATCGGAGAATCCTGCTTTTCCCTTTGTGTATATTGAGACCTATTGTTGCTGAGGCTGCTGCCACACTGTTCGTCTTCTCCTGCATCTGTTGTTGCGTTTGGGATAAAAGGGCCAGATCGTCCGCGAAGTCTAGATCATCCAACTGCATCCTAGATGTCCATTGTATCCAGATGTTCCTCAGTTGTAAATATGCTGCTCCGCCTGGAGTCCCTCCGGGAGCTACTACCGGTCCCAAGCCCGGATAAAGGAAAAGGGTTGGGCATGGGGTTAGCGTCCCCATCCCGTAGAAAACCAACTCGCTAAAAAAACGCTGCTTCTCCAAAAGGATCCGGTTTTCATCGAGGTACTTAAACAGCTCCTTCCGAATCATTTTTTCTAAGATTTTAACAACCACATCAGTTAGGCTAACGGGGCGGTAATTATCAGGTTTGTGTTTCGTACCTATTTTGAAGACAGGACTTACTATGGCGTTTTTCCAGTCTTTGGGTAAACGACCCTGCGTTACGGATAGGTTAAAGCATATACTTAAAGGGTTCGCAACAAAGTTAGATAATTCCTTCAGTAGCCTAGGATGTAATTCATCGGGCCCCGTGGATTTACCTATGTCAAGCTTATTTAGTAGACCAAAGACATGGAGTTCTTTAGTGGTCACGCTATCCAGTGTATGTGTGGGGGAATCTGTATGCACTGATGGGAAGGGTGCTTCTATGGTGTATACATTGCTAAAGTAGCTTGAGAACACTTGAGCCTTACCAAAGTCGTCCTCCACTAGTGACGCGGCAGTACTGTCTCCCCATAGAACTGGAATATTTCTTCTTCTCTTTGTCCTTTGGTTTATATAAGAATACAAACGTTTAGGAAATTCTATGGATTCCTTAACAATATTTTCTTCGTACAACTTTCTAGACTTACGGAGGGTCGAGGCACAGGTATTCCGGACTTTTCTATACTGGGATTTAGTTTCATCAGTCCCCAGTAACCTAAATCTATCCCACATTTTTCTTCTCTTATGGAGAAGGATGCGGACCTCCCTACTGAACCATGGTGGGGAGTTTCTCGGTCCCCTTGGTATAGTCCAAGGGATGTGGGGTGTGGTAACTTTCAAGTATGAATTTCGAAATGTGTCCCAGGCCGTTTCAACTGAGGACCCTGGGTCTATTGTCCAATCTACTAACGATGCTGAGTGCATGATATCTGGTATATTTGCTTTCCAGACGTTAGGTCTGGATTGGGCTGACGCGTGCTCGTGACTGACAGTTATATGGAAGTCGAAAATTAAAACTGCGTGATCATTTTTTACCTAGGGGTGGCATATAATGAAGGTTCACAACGTCATCCACATAGTGAGTGATTATTAGATTTAGTAAGGATGATTCAGTGTCCGGATCGTACCTTGTCGCTTCCTTCACATGTTGCACTAGGACACATGTGATAATCCCATCAACCAGTTCCTGCTCGAAAGAACTCTCCGACGATTTAGTTCGCAGATTTTCCCAGTCTACCATAGGTGCATTAAAGTCCCCTAGGATTAGACATCGACCACTTTGGGACCAAGTATTGAGACTGCTTAACAGGATCTCATTTGCCTCACAGCTTGGACTGCGATAGACCAAACCAATCAGCAGCTCTTGTCCCTTGCATTTCAAGCGGCAACTAACTCATTCACACGTCTCACTCTCATGGGATACACTATCGATAATAGCAAATGGGATAGCATTCCTAATGAATAGAGCTACTCCCCCTCCTTTGCGCTTTTGTGTTCTGTCGGCCCTTACTAACGTAAAACCCTCGAAATCAAGTTCCATACTATCTATAGCCTGTGTCAGTCAGGTTTCTGTTACTGCGATTATGTCTGGCTTTGTAGAGTCAATCTGTACACCTAGTTCCGATCGCTTATTAAGTAAGCTTCGTGCATTGGTGTAACAGATCCGAAGCCTGTTTAAGTGCCTTCGCGCTTCACCCAGAGTGGCTTCGGCATCATTCTTTTTCGAAGTCTTACAACCCGAAAATTTACAATTTTCAGGTCTGTTTCGCCAGCGTCTAACCTAAGTTGTAGTTTTTTCTCGGCTTCCCGTCTTTTAACACGGTCTGCCAACGGTAGGTCCTTTCGGATAAAGACTCCTGAACCCTTTAATTTGTGTCCATTCTGTAAAATTAGGTCACGTTCGTTCGAAGAGCTGAATACTATTTTAAGCAGTCTGGAGTGATTTGGTTTCGAGTCCGCTAGACTCTTTAGTCTGTACACCTTTAGCAAGGTGACCCCGATCACATTTTGAGGCATGAGTTGATTGGGCAGATGTTTAATCAGCACAATGTCATGCTCAAAGCGAGCTTTTGGTTCAGAACTCTCACTCTCCTTGATCCTAACGCAGCCCTTTTTACTGAACCTTTTGAAAGCCGCAGGCGTTAAATTTGTGCAAGCTTCGTGGTACCATTCTTTGCACTCATCGCACCGCATGCCGCTTACAACGGAATAACGACAACCCGTACGTTGGCAACTGCTTTTTTTGCAATGTCCGGTCATTAGAAAGGGGTCCTTTCCAAAAAAGAGCGAGATACAACAATGCTCAAAGACAAAAAAATGATCTATGACCAAAAAAGTGGAGAACCGTAGATTGTTAGGACCAAAAGTACTAAGAGTACCGACGATAAACTAATTGAGAAACAGTAAACGATGCTCTAGTCGAAGACATTAACTGAAATAAATTCAATTCAACTGAAAACAGTAGTCTTGATACGTAATAAACGACCAAAACAATGAAATTTACACAGCGAGGAAAAATACCACTGTCCCTTTTAATTAGCGCTCCTCATTTCATATCAGATTACCTTCCACATATCTTCAAACCCAAAAAAGTCTATGGGCTAATAACTACGAAATATGGGGATAGGTAGCAGAAAAGGTAGTGAACTTGCACTCCAGGTCTACTGGCAATAGTCATGATTAAAGATCGTCAATGACGATAAGTGCATCACTCTGCACGTTGAACATGAAAGTTCCAGTGATTACTAAATTATAGAAAGTACCCTGCTTATAGTTAGAATTTGAAACTGGTAGATTGCAGAAAGTGATGACCCCAAGATCATAACTTACCGCCCTCTGTTGTAGCTAAAGTGTGGCGCCGTTAAAACGTAAAATCCTTTCCGAGTCCCCCGCCGTTTCGTTTCAACGACCTTGATTGGGTAGTATTCAAATGGTTCAAATGATTGTGGACGGAATAGAAGAAGCTTTCGCTTAACAGGCTTCCGTGTCTAGTAGCAGGGGATCACCAAATCCTCCAGGCAGTAACCTAGGTATGTTAACAGTAAAAGAGGAAAAGAAATTGGTAAATCATAATATGATGCTGTCCTTGGTCCTTAAGAATAGGTCAAGTTGCCTCTTGAAGGACTCCTGAGAAGTCGCTTGGACTAGCTCGGCCGACAGCGAATTCCAGCTTTTGACAACTCTTAAGGAGTAGAAGTTGTGTCTACATTCCGTCTTGCTATGTTGTATTTCCAGTTTCTGGGTGTTACCCCTTAGGTTATTATTCGAACTAAGCTTAAGTAGGTGTTTAAGAGGATGTTCAGAAGTGTTAAGAATACTATAAGCCATTAATAAATCACCTCTAAGACGCCTATATTCTAGTGGGTAAAGGTCTAGTGAATGGAGGCGTTCTTCGTAAGGCTTAGATTTGAGTCCTCGAACTGATTTCGTGGCTCGCCGTTGGATACGCTCCAAAGTGACCTTGTCCTTTTGGAGTGAGGGGGGGAGTACTATGTTTCCGTACTCTAAATGGGGACGGATGAAACTATTGAAGATTGTGTGGAAAGTTCTTCCGTCAAACTGGCCAAAAATGCGCCTCAACGTTACCAGTGCAAGGTTACCAGTGCGGCTGTCATTTCATATTTGAATCTCAGTCAGTTTGCTGAGTGTCGGTTGGATTTTACGGATTTTTGGTGTTCTCACATCAAGTAGTCTATCACTACTATAGAACTACAAAGTCATTCCGTAGAACGTTAACTGATCTTCCTCGCCTTTATAGCCTAAACGTTACCTCGACATCGTGCGCGCTATTCAACGTTATAACACCAACAACGTTTGACGTAGAAGGAAGTAAAAGTCATAATTGAATTCATGTATTCAATGGACTCTTCATGTTATTAAATGAATTTCATTGAAATAACAGATCATGATATGAATTTTGTCGACTGTAATTTTTCACCATGTCAGACTGCGTTACCCCTGGCAGGTGCAATACATGCTGAAATGATATACTAAGTTGTAGAAGGCTTAGTTATAGTCGTTTTACTTTAAATATAGACCATCACTTAATAATGGAAAAACGTTTCGGGGCTAAGTTAAGTCCTGGTAGTTTTGCAGTAGACTAAGCTTTGACGCTTAAAAGACTGTAGTTCTCTGGCTGAGAACATTATCGTTTGTTGTCTTCCAGGCAATTTTTGTTGTCTTATATTTTGTTTATGAGCCAGTTTGAACCGAACGCTCCTCAGCACATTGGTAGCTCCCCAAACATATCTATGCTATTTTTAGCCTCTTAAGTTTAGTACACCCGGTTTTCACATAATTCAGTTAAGTCCAAACGATAGCGCCTAGAAGAAGTTATGAAAAATATCAATGTAGCAACTAGAGTTGTTTATGAATTTCCCTTGCCCTGGATCTGTATAGTTTACATGTATACTAGGTAACACACGAACGCTTTTAGTGGTGTTGGTCCCAACTACAATCATCGAAGCCGAACATAAGATAACCGGGAAAGTAGACTTTCAACATGTAACACTAAGAGAAGGCCAATAATAGTGGACGCGGGAATATTGATTCGAGATTCATTTACATCATGGCTATCTCCCCAATATTTCCTGATACACACATAGACATAAAAACTATCTCAGGAGAGGTCTTTAGTCGCCTCACCTTAGTATTTGCTACCACCTCTTTTTACTATGTCTTCGACCTGACAGATCAACCGCTGATTTTATTAGACATAGAGCAAAAATTTTTGCAGCTCAATGTTTTCTTTGTACGTCAGCGTATGCGTACCCTTTGCATGTACCTATATACTTGAACTACATATGTCAAAGAAATCCTGTGGTGGCATTGGGCCATAATACGGGACAATGTATGAAATAGACATTCAACATTTAGCACGAAGAAAAACTGAACGATGAAGAGGGAAAGAAGAATTAATTGAATTAATTGGAGTTGATCGTCTGACATGGCTCGGCCATGCAGGCGTGGTCCCTGCTGAATGCTACCTTATATCTTCTATTCATATTAATTATATTGTTCTATCTCTAGACTAATTTTGTTCTCTACCATGTATTGGTAATTGTTACAATGTAGTGAGTTGGTGTAGACGATGATGTGACTTCCACGTAAAATCTTATAGATTAGGCAGATGTATCATGACAACTCTACACTTATAAGATTAGGTCTGTTGTTAGAGCAGTACTATTATCATAGTAGACCATAATTCTTCACTCCTTTAGTCCTCATACGTAAGCATGCACATCTTGTAGCCCGAGCTATAGGGTGTTTCAAGTAAAAAACCAAGGGTGATCAGATGCGACAGAGTGGGTGGTTGGTTCGATCTCTCCGGCTGATTAAGTTTGGTAGTGCGGTTGCTCCCACTATCCCCCAGAGACACGGGGAATCGTTGGGTCGGATTCTGCTGCCAGTTACAACGAACCTCCTCCCAGAATGAGTGAGGTGCACAAAGTCTCCAGATAATGGAAAATCAGTGGATGTTGTTAACGTAGACCAACAAAATACTTGATAAAGTGTCAAATAATAAACTCCAAGTCACTACCTAATGAATTACCTCAAGGCTCCGTCCTGGGTCCTTTATATTTTATACTGTAAATTAACTCCCAGAAACTGTTGATGATGCATAAATCTGGTGAGAAACGATTGAGGATGTAGATGCATGTGCACTTCAGGAGGACCCAGATGTTCTGGGTCGCTGGTCTAAAACATTAGCTGATGCATACCAACGAGGCTAAGCGAGTCTGCATGCTCAGTGGGGATCCAAGGATAACCAGGAACAACAAAGGGGAAGAGTTGGTGACCGTCGTTCAGGCTCACATGTATATTGGGGTGAGAACTAACCATTATCTTAAGACCATGACTCACTATGGTCGTAGCAAAAGGATTCGGGGCCCTCCAGGCTTTAAAGTGGACATTTACGAAGTTGGATATCAAAATGTTCACTATAGTGTACACAAACTTAATGAGATTCAGACTTCAGAACTGAATTTAGTCTACAAACCCCTGTTTAAATAGTGACTCGCATATCTTGGAAAGAGTACAGGAGTAGCTGTTCTTACAATTTCAGAATTTTAGGGTTTACCATGCAAAGAGCGGCTTCAGAATCTCAACTTCCCAACTCTGTCCAACTGCAGATTAAGAGGTGATTTTATTTCGATGTACAGAATATTTATAATTGATTTAGACTAGATATACCCTCACTTTTTATTCCTATCAAGTCACGACGACTCGGAGAAAATAAGAGGCGAGTACAAACGCCGTGAACGATCAGAATACCTATGACGTACAGGCTTGCACAACGAGTCATTGATTCTTGGAACTTGTTACCTAGAGAAAGGGTATGTGCTCCTTTAATTGACTCATTCGTGAGAAGACTAGACATTCTAAGAAGCTCACTAGAAAAGAACCTCACCGGAATTCTATGTGAAAGCCGACGATAACTACCTTAGGATCATTAATAACTACGTATGAATCCAGTCTCTTTGACGTTCATTTTTGCATAGTCTATGCTGAGCGGATAACAGAGGACATACTTTCATCACTTCTAAGTTTTAAGTAACCCATTTAAGACATGTTACAGACTACGCGTACGAATGAAGGAAGTTGGACGGCAACACTTCTGACTCGATCTTTAACAACTTTATTTGAGCCCAAGTGGAGTACGTTACAGCTCTCTCTCCGGAAGTAAAATACACAGAAACGTATCCAAAGACAGGTAATAAAATCAGTTTGGAGACGTAAGTTCAAACCTCATGCAAGGCTTCAAGATGGCACAGCTATTCGGAAGCTGACAAAGCCTTTACACGTAACACGATTATACTCAAAGGATGTCAGCCCAATCAAATCAGAAGTCAGAAACGAAGAGTTTCGAAAATATGTTTCGAAAGTCATCGATGTGCTGAGGAGCGTTTGGTCCAAACTGGCTAATAGTTGCAAGGGATATGTAGCACGACGTGCATACTCGATATTGATGAAAAACAAAAGCGTGAGCGATAGCCCTCAGCTGGGTAGTGTAAAATAAAACTAACGAGGTCAGAATCAATGTCTAGAGCTTTCAGAACTATTTAATTTGGAGGAATTACTTGCTGATGCAAGCGCCTCAAATCGCTGAATCTTTATCCGTCAGAATAAAGGCGTCTCAAAGTTGACCTTCTAATGACTTATAGCATCTAAGGTACTCCTGACACCCTCTTTGATACTTATCTAGGCTCAGTACTAACACAAACTTATGGCACAACACCCAGAAGTTGAAAATGAAGCATAACTAAACGGATTATAGTCCCGATATTTACTCTTTACAAGTAATCAAATCCTGGAATCAGCTATCAGCTTAGGTGGTCCAAGCGACGTCTCAAGGGTCTTTCAAAAATAGACGAGACATCCTTAAGGACTCAGGACAGTATCTCACTATAGTTTATTAATATTTCTTTTGTTTACTCATTCAAAATACCTAGATTTCTACCCGAAGACATCGTATATCTACTGCTACCAGACACGGAAGCTCAGTAAGCAAGAGCTTTTTCTATTCCGTTAAGAATCATTTGTATTCGAGTGTAGTGGAGGTTTCAAATGCAGCAGATTCGCTGTAGTTAGTATTGGTATCACAACTAAGTAATTTCCAGACGACCTGCAGTCTTGTGTGTACTACTTTGTTTTGAAGACTCATTTGTCGGATCACTTCTTTATGATGACTGAGAACAATTAAAATCTTATTAACCTTAACGAGCCTCCCCACCTTTATTCAAGAGAATTACTACAGTTCTTCATGCAAGGCTAATAAGCAATATTTCGATATTCCAGACCTTTTAAAGCTGTTCCAGAGTGTACATGCCTAAATATCAACATACCAAAGGTAATTATAGTGTAGATCACCAACGTAGATGATCCATGTCGAAATGACTGG